TCTCTCCCCCTCTCTATCTGTCCCTCTCTGGTCAAATTAAAATAAGTAAATAAATAAATAAAGTTAAAATAAAATAATTTAAAAAATACTGTCACTAGAAGGTACTCAATTAATGCTAACGGATGGACTTGAGATGGGATAGGACATTAGGCAAAACACAAAGTAAGAAATATATAGTGGTTGTTGGATATATAGCTTTAACATATTCATCTTAAATTCTATGTTTCTAAACGTACTTACTTACAAGTTTCTTCACAAGTGCAACTTAAATATCATTGGATATAATTAGGAAATCTAAAGGATAGAATAACCTAGAATAAATCTCTTTTGCTGTTTCCAAGCAGCTGCACACCTTGCTGAGGGTTCACAAGGGATGACAAGAGGAATTTAAGGATCTCATAATATGCTTCTAGATAATGACATTTTCCCCTTTTTACTTAATAACACCCACTGAAAAACCCTCTTTTTAGTTTGCTATAGCAAGAAAGTAAGCACTAAAGCCAGGGAGAGCATTTACAGGATGTTGGAAAAATGCTCACACTTGGAGAGCAACTTTGCAAACACCAACTCATTGGCTATTGTGAAAACCTCAGAACCCAGATCTGACAGCCCATGGAGATGATCTATTGGGTTGTCGGGAAAGGCATGCCAAATTTTTGCATAGAAAAACGTAGAAAAAATATGTCATGACTTCTCTGACAACCTAATAGTTCTGCTGTTCTGACTTTTTCCAAAGGACTGAATTATTCTGGGTCTTTAATGTGTATGATTAACTTACATAACTGAATTTGCATTAAGAAAAAGGGAAACCTAAGTTCAGACACAGATAAGCATTAGTATTATTATAGGTGCCTAATACATGTAAACACTAGATAATTCTAGAAGAAACAACTGAAGTTGAGTTCCTGAGTATCTAAGAACTGTCCCACCCCAGTTGTCCCTTGTGACAACAGGAATACTAACCGATTCTGCAGAAGTCCCCCTCCCAGCCTGGACTGCAGCAGCACTTGCCGGTGGGGGTACAGTAGCCATTCCGACAGAGCCGGGAGCACTCCGAGGTCAGCGTCTGCGCAGGCTGGACTGTGGCTCTGCATTCCTCAGGCATTAAAGGCCTGCATCAAAAGACAACGTGGAAAGTGTATTTGGTCGAAAACCAATATTGGAATAAGGCCTAGTGATTTTGAGCTTGCAAAGCATCTCTTGTTTTTTAGAGGCTTTTGAATGAGTCAGTCAGATTTACTTTTTCATAGAAAATACATACCAGTGGGGGAAAAAACCTAAACTGTCTTGCACTAAGGTGAACACATTAAACACTTAAAGAAGCTATTATGATCAAAATTCATAGATGATGGCCAGCTCCATAGCCTAGTGGTTTAGAGAGTTGGATCCCACATGGCTGACTGTGGTTCAAATCCTGACCCCAGCGGCTTGGTGGAACAACAACAACAACAAAAATACAGGCACATATGTATGCCTCAAATCTCATCAGGATGGAGAAATGGAGAAAGATCGTGGAGTGACCACACCCCCATTATAGGGTGCTTTCTTCTCCTTCTGTCCCCAGTGTTTGTCTCTTTCCAGTGAATGCCACTCTCTCTGACAATTAAAAAAAATTAATGGATGAAAATTGTGAATCTAATTATATTGACATTTTACATTTAATATCTAAGAATTGCTAGTAATTATTATAATTTAAATTTGTGGTTTTAAAAAAGTTTTAATTTTATTTAGTAATATTATTATTTTTAAATTTGCTATAGGGTACATGTGCTTACCAGAGAGAGACAAGAGAGAGACAGAGAGAGATGAGAAAGTGAGAAAGCAAGCTACCAGGTCTAGGACTCAAACTATGGCTGGCCATGTGGAAGTCCAACGCCTCAACCATCACAACTTCTGCAAGTCCCAGCAATTATAGTTTTAAAATAAAGATATATTGATATTTTAAACTTTTTTTTTTAAGTTGTGCTATAGGGTGCATGAGTTTACCAGAGAGAGAGAGAGAGAGAGAGAGAGAGAGAGAGATCATCTTCCAGTGGGCATGTTCATTCTCCTTTTGGGATTTTGGGCACACCCTCACACACACCCAGTGTGTTCTTCAACTGGCTGAATCTGAGACTCAACTGCGCAGTCATGTGGGATCGAGCAGCCTTAGCTACCATGCCACCACGTGGCCTGGTATTTTAAAACTTTTTGTGCCTACATCTACAAAATTTTTTAGGAATAGTATCTAAAATTCAATCACTTGTTATTTGATATATTTGGCAATATCACAAGGCTGAAGGCATATGTCAAAGTGGATGTCTGGAGAAAAAGCTTGGGAGTAAACTTTTGTTTTAATTGTATATTTCTTTTGAGATAGTTTATTATCAGACAATTTTTCTTGAAAGGTCACCATAATATTGAGTCGTTGGGAAAGTCATGTCACAGTTTTGCATAGAAAAATACATCGTGACCTTGCCGACAACCTAATACATAAGAGCATGTGTATATTCTGTAAGTTTGTGCACATACAATATTGCAACAGTTCAAAAAGTTTGTGGTAAAGTGGAATTAAAGTACAAGCTTATTTAGGTGCAAGAAATTTGAAATCCATGCAGGTTTTTTACTCATAATACACATTTTCCACTAACTTTTTGAAGACCCCCTTGTATCTGTGTGTGTACACTATTAAGTCAATGTCTCAACGTTTAAACTCTTCCCACAGAGAAAGATACACACCACACACACATGCACACACACACACGTATGAAATGCAGATTTTATGGGTATATACTATCATTTGATTTTTTCCTACTATCAAAAAGGAATGCTAACAGTAGCAATGTAAAAAGTCATAATTTTGTTTTGTCTTACAACTGCCATCATTTGTAGGGGAAGCCAAGACAATTTTAGGAGATTTCTTTATAATTATTATTTTCAAACTAAAATGCTGTTACTCAAGCTGGATCTGGCTGGAATCAGGGCCACAACTGCTCATTCCCTAATCTTTGGAAAACATATGCAGTGGCATTTTCCTATCAGCCACAATTGGCTGTTCCACATAGTAGTGAGAAGGCTCTTTGCAGTTAATGAATGTTTTCATTGGTCAATCAAATCGCCAAATTAGGCTCACTGAAGCAGTTGGATGCTTTAAGTACCATAACAAAGAAGGTGATCATTATAGGTCAAAACCACCAGAAGAGGTAAATTACAGAGCTTTCTGAGCTAAGCAAACAATTAAGCCCCACAGACTCAATTTTCTTGAGATAGGTTACCTTGTTATTCCCTAGGGCAATATGACAGTGACAGTAATTTTAAGACCTGACCTTAGGCTGTTTCTACAATTACTCAAAACAATATATATTAAAAACAGAAATGTTAAAAATGTGACTTCTGTAGCTCATCTTCTCAATAAAAGTCCAACTCTTTGTAGAAAGTACTGTATTTTGCAACTAACATGGTAATTTAGAAATGTTTAATTTCTATGGAAGATCCTTACGAGATTCCATGAAATGAGCATGTTTTTATTGAGAAAACATTAATACTTTCCATGTGTTCCCCAAGGGAGTCTTTCTATGAGTAAGAGTAAATGGGATAAGGTAGAAGTTATGCCAAGAAAAGTGAGGGCATCATCTTCATCTTCTTGTTGTTGTTGAATACCCCAAGTCTGCTCTAGTTCTTATAACATTCTTAAGTTTTTGGAGACAATAGATTCATTCTTGACCACAGGAAGAAACGCTTTTTCAGTAGCCATGGAGTTCTTCCGGGTCATAGGCCATGACAGTTTACTATGTGGCATTCAGCAAATAAGAATTGTTCCAATTACTTGTGACTGAAATTATAGAATTCAGTGCATCTAATTTCTGTTTGTTACTCACTTGTTCACCTTCTTTCTGATTCTTCAAGGGGATCCAAAAATAGAGCATGTTGAAAATATATTACATTATATGAGATGCAAAATACACAGGTACATAGCTCACATGCAACTCCACAAGATGGTTTAGGCTCTCAAATGATGGTTGATTCATTTAAATGAATCTAAAAAGTGGATGTCATTTAGATCAAGAATGGAGGTGGGGGACCAGTAGATGGCATAATGTTTATGTTGCTGGACTCCCATAGTTTGAGTCTCGGACTCTGCAGCTTAAAACTCATGCCGGGTGCATGCGCATATGTGCAGAAAATCCTGAGAGGAGAGTAGAGGAGAAGGGATTGTGGTATGACCATCTCCCCTGGGGGTTGATTTCTAGCTTTCTGTCTCTTTGTCTTTCTCTGTCTCTCTGTCTTTCTCTGTCTTTGTTGTCTCTGCAGTGAGTGCATGTGCCCTATAGCAAAAAATCTCTCTCAAAAAAAAAAATATGAAGGTGAATACAAGTAAAACAACACCTGAGCAAAAAAAAAAAAGTATGGAGGTGAATACAAGTAAAACAACACCTGAACTGTTTGAGGCAAAGTAAAAAGAAAGATGTTGTTTGTTTGAGGTATAGTACAGGGAAACAGATTCATATACATTGGGAAAAGAAAAAGGGATATAGCGAACAGGGATGCAATATGGACGGGAAGTTCTTTAGGGTTTTTTTTTTAAGGTGTTTGGCCCTTGTTTCCTGTTCTTCCTCCAACTTCCTCCAACTAGGTGCTTTGGCTATTTTTCACCAAACACTCAAGTATATGAAAACTTAAATTATGGAAGGAATTCTACATAATTGTGTGCTTTTTTTTTTTTGCCTAAGATTTAGTAAATGACTGTCTGTAAATATGACTACTTCATACTTGGGCCTATTTACTTCAGCTTATATAAGACTATATGACTGTCAGTCACATACAAATATTATGAATACTTGGGCCTATTTACTTTTGCTTATATAAGACTTTATGACTGTCAGTCACATACAAATACTATAATTCCCTCAAGTTTTTACTTAAATACCTGGGAAATTACCTTTTTTTCTTTTACAAAGTTGATGACTAACATTCCTCACTTAGTATGTTAAATAAATTATCTCCATCTCTTTATTATTCTGTCGGGGCTCTCTTAACATACACATATACATAAAAGATAGTTCATTCTTGTAAGACTTCACAACTCTTCTGAAATGGGTTATTCTATTTCCTTTTCCATTGAAACGTAGTTTTCTGAGGGCAGAAACTATAGCCTCAATCTTCTAAAGTCCAATAATTTACTTAGGGTAATACTGTATTATTCACAGGGATAAGACATAAACAAAACAAGGTCCTGCTCCTCACTAAGGCCACCAAAGAGAAGACAATCATCAAACACAAAGACATAATGCGGTGTGATCTTTGTTTTGATACAGGTGCACAGGAAGTGTTGTAGGGACATAGATGAGGGGGCAATTACTTTAGGGCTGAGAGATGTTATAGAAAGATGACAGTTAAGCCACAAAACATTTTATCTTCTTCAACTAGTCCTTTTCATGAGACTTGGAAAATATGCATAATTAGTCAATAAATTCTTATTAAGTTAAATTGAATATATATAATAGTAACTTTCTCAAATGCACTTTCTGGAACATCAACTCCTTGAAGAGACATGTTTTCTCTCTTTTCAATGTCCCCCAGGACCTAGAAGCATGTGAAGAGTGTGTAGCACAAGGGAGATGTTTAATAAAAATGTGTTAAATAAATAATGGAGCCAGTAGGTGATGTGGTGGTTAAGGGCACTGGACTCCCACATGACTGACCATGGTTCAAGTCCTGTACCTAGAGGCTTGCTTTCTCAATTTCCCTCTCTCTTGCACTCTCTTTCACTCAGTCCCTCTCTGGTCAAATTTAAATAAATAAACAAAAATTTAAAAATAAAATAAAAATATGTGGAATAAATGAATGACATTAATAAAAATACAGAATTTTTAAAAAGAATTATTTAACTTTACTTATTATTATTATTATTATTATTTTCCAATTTGACCAGAGAGAGACAGAGAGAGAGGGGGAAAGTGAGAAAGGAAACCACCAGGTCCAGGACTTGAACCATGGTTGGCCACATGGGAGTCCAGTGCCTTTAACTACCATGTCACCTGCCGACCCCAAGAATACAGAATTTCAGAAGAATGTTTCTTTTCTATGCTATTGGATGAAGGTTTTAGAAATATATGGACTGTTTAAGGATGAG